CTTGTTATTTATGTATTTTTTAAGAATAGTACATGTAGATGATAATAACAAGTAAATAATCATAAAATAATAAAATCAAAGGAAATTAACACATAAGTTTCCGTGAAAATCTTAAAAAGTAAAAAAAAAAACACGAGCAAGAGATAAAAATTTACTATAATCGATGATAAATTATGATACTATTATATGAGAGTGCATCAAATCCTAGTACTAACACAATAATTCTTGTTGAATAATGTTGTACCGTACCTTGAGTTGCATGACAAATTTTTTAAGTCGGAAAAATTGAAATTCGGGCCATAAACTTTTTGAGTAAGATAAGATTACATTTTAAAAATATATAGGTGAGTTTAAACAGGTTCTGAGTCCAATTAGATTTGCACAAATTTGTTTAATATTGATAACATACATAAGTTCAAATGTTCAATCAATGTGGAACATATAAACTTCAATCTGATATAAGTATGGATATTATTAATGTTATATATATATTGTGATAATTATACATAATTTCGACATATTATCAAGAGAGTTATGATAAGCAGGGCTTCATGTTCAATGATCAAAAGATCAACATGATGGTCGTATGCTTCAGATGAACAGAAGCTTTCAACGCATATGATTGGTGTACGAATTTCGGCATCTCCTGCTTTGAGAACCCGAAAATGAGGAAGATCCATGGCGGATTCAAGAGAGCTTTATGTTGAAAAGAAAAAAACAGAACAACTTTCGGTGGGTGGGCTGGCAAAACTTTCGGTGCAGCATTTGTGGAAATTTAGAAAATGGTAAAATCAAAATTTAGTCATTGTACTTTAGTGTATTCACTACAGTAAAATTGTACATTTGTGGCATTTTTTTACCTATAGCGGCGTTTTTAAGCGCCACAAAAAACACCTGCGGCGCTATGACAAACGCCGCAAAAAGCGCCGCTGAAAATAGCGTCGCTAAAGTTTGCGGCGTTTGGTAACAAAAAACGCCGCAATAGGTAGCGTTTGTTGGATAAACACCGCAATAGGTGTTGATATTTAGCGGCGTTTTTCCAACAAACGCTGCAATAGGTGTTGAGATTTAGCAGCGTTTTTCCCACAAACGCCGTAATAGGTGTTGAGATTTAGCGGCGTTTTTCCCACAAACACCGCAAAAGATCTGGTATATAACGGCGTTTTTTAGAACAAACGCCGCTAATTACCTCTCTATAGCTAAAAGAAATTAATTTTGCAAATTAAAACTAATTTGTCAAATGTTGTTTTCTACTCTTTTATTACCTAAATTTAACCTTTAGCATTTTCCAATAAACTTGACATCCATAACAACAAACTTAAAATCCATAACAAGAAAAATGAAATCCATAATAATAAATCAAAGTTTACATTAACGTAAAATATAATGTAGTTCAACATTATTAACTATAATAAACAATAATATCTAAGATATTTTGCTTCTAATCTTACACATTCTTCAAAACTCTTCGTCACAATGAGGCGCTTAAATTCAAAGAGATAAATCCAGTTTATATGGGAAAACACTGATGCAGAGCTAGTATCGTCCTGTCATTTCTTGCACAGATATTTTGCTTCATGAGGTCTTACTCCAATTGGCATGCCACTTGAAAAGGCCCCATCCATGGCAATGCAAACCCGATCTCTAGTTTCATATCCAAATAAATCATCAGTTTATATGAAAATCCATTATATCTTACGTTAAAAAAGTTAACAACACATTTCTGCATGGTCAGTCCCAGCAGTCAACAACTCTATGGCATGGGCAACCATCATGATGATAAGCAAAATATAGAGATAGATCTTAATAATTGTGCAGAAACATCCAAGCTTGAATTTCATGATAACTTCTAACAGTTTATCGGACCAAACATATTTTAAATCAATAGCACCCAGAAAAAGGCTCCAAAACTGCATTCCTAACAAACATAAATATATAAAGATGGAAATATGACAGCTTACCAAGGACGAAATCCTTACCAAATCCTTTCAAGCATTCTGCTAAAACAACCTGAGAACATACAAAAGCACAATCTAACTTAAAGATAAGGAAGTAAAAAGAGAATTTAACGGAGATTGTAAATTAATATTTTATCCCCATTTGTCACCTCAGTATTTTCCCCAATAATTTCAATTATAAGCCCCATCAACTTATGTGCAGAGGCCATTGGTTTCAATTGAATGCTTTTCTGTGCCAAACTGTACATGCTTTCTAACCCCTAATAGAAGAAAATAAATAAACGAGATATGTAATACAAGGAAAGTACATACCACTGTGAATGGCCTGATGTATAACAAGTGAGAAATATACAATTCTATCCAATGGCATGTTGCAGAGCAGAGACTATTGCATTACCCAACATTATTTGTAACATACTTCTCAAACCCTGATGAGTCTGCTGGTGAGCACACTAAAACCAAAACACCTTTAGAAAAGTGAATAGGTGAAAAGCTTGACGGATGGAAATGCAAAGAATATATGGAACTACTTAGTTGAAACAACCAAAAACAGAACTAGCATAATAACAACAATCGTTTCCAAGTTAAAACACATTTTAGTCAAATAACTGAACAAAGACTTTCACGAACCTCTTAACTATTAAAATGTTTCAATGAAACTAAAGGTAAATAGAGCTACATCTTTTGGATGCAATGCATAATAATTAATCTCTTACCAACCTCGCGATTGCTGAGTTGATCTAATTGATAAGATCCATGCAAGCTCAACATTTTAACTTGCATGTGAAAATATAAAACTGCATCCAATCATAAAATTCCACTAAAAAAAGAACCTAACATGCTTTCATAATTTTATTAAGCTATAAAACCACATTAGTCTGTCAGACACATACCACGATATCTAGCCAACTCACAGCAAGTGTTGATGACATAATTTCCCAATATTTGGGATTATTCTCCACAACCTACATTCAATAAACTGATTAAATAACACCATCTTAGATGAATACAAAAGATTACAAATAAGTCAAACAACTCACAAGCATAAACTCTAGAACTGTGTTAGTACCATACAAAGAAGTTAACTTCATAAGGAAAATAGAAGGTTAATTATTTCAGGACCTGCAAGTTTACAAGTTCTTTTTGAAAATCAACAAGCTTTGCGTGCACTGTTGGGTATGTTCCTGAGAAAAGGCTGTCGTAGTCCTGCCAAGACACAAATTGGTTATTAGTATACAAAAATCTTTAAAACCAACACAATGTAACACTTAATGGATATAGTTAAAAAAAGGAAAGAGATTTACAGCTAACCGGTCAACAAGGCGTTCAGGTAACCATGAATGAGATGGCTTTTCAGCATAAAACATTTCCAATAGCTCCCACGCAGCCTTTAAACTAGTTGGCTCATCTCCTTTTTGAGGGGGAAAAAGGCAACTTGAAATTAAACAAAAGTACCATTAGATTAAAACCTTCAAGCTTAACCATTAGATTAACACATTCTCCATTCTCCCTCATTTCCATTCTTCATACCAAATAGAGCCAAAATGTCTGGTACAAAATAAAAGAAGAAAAGAAGAGGAAATTACCAATATGACTGACTTTGGGTAGTCGATAATCGGAACTGAATCCGATTTCTGACCACCAAGAAGGGCATTTATGTCTTTGCTATACTCCATTATGTAATCCCACCTGAACACAACAAATTCAATATTTTTCAGAACAAAAGAAAATAAACTCCAAATATATTTTCGTAAAAATGAAAATTTGAAAACTAATTACCAATCAGCATCGTAAGGTGAGGAATTCATTGATATTTTCGACAAGCTGGAGACGGCATTTTTCTGCTTTGGAGTAGAGATAAAGGAGAGACCGAACCGTATGCGACCCTCCACCAATGAGCATCACTGACTTCGCCGTCTCCGCCGCTGAGCTTCACTTCCACTATTTTTCCTCCTGCATCGTCTTCAACGGAGGAAGGAGTGGCGAAAACTGAGACCCGAAGGTAGTGGCCGCGTGACCATGAGACGGAGAGCCTAGAGATTGGAGACTTGAGACAATGACGGAGGGGATACACCGTCGAACCCTGGGAATCTGTACAAATCGAAACTAAAGCACCTCTGCCAGAATCTGACGAGACGCCAGGCATTTCTTTTCGCCAATAAATCAGTGAATGGGCCTGTTAGTCTCGGAGCGTTAGGGTTTTGGGATGGAATATGCAAATGTTGCATTGTTGAGGAGAGGATTAAAAAATTCTTATTAAAAAGTTTCATTTGTACGGATTAAAAAGTACGAGTATTTAGTGGTGTTTGTGCTTAAAACGCCACTAAAGTACGAGTATCTGGCGGCGTTTGTGCTTAAAACGCCACTAAAGTACATTATTTTGAGGCATTTATATAAAAACGCCACTATAGTACGAGTATTTAGCGACGTTTGTATAAAAAAAGCCGCTAAAGACTCGAACTATAGCGGCGTTTGTATAAAAATGCCACTAAATCATGAGTCTACAGCTGCGTTTGTTCTAAAAACGCCACTAAATTACAGTCTTTCACGGCGTTTGTATAAAAACGACACTAAAGTAAATTATTTAGCGGCATTTCTGTAAAAACGCCGCTATAGTACGAGTCTTTACCGGCGTTTGTTCTAGAAATGCCGCTACAAATGTCGCTATTAACCCATTTTGCTGTAGTGATTTATAAGATTAGTCTTTAAGATTCAACTATAAATACCCTAGCTCATTTAGCTTCAAATTCATCCCAAATCATTCTAGCTTTCTCCCTATACTAATGAATTTAGAGAGGTTTTTAAGAGTTGTTTTCTCCTTTTTTATCAAGAGAGAATTATCATTGTTTTCTCCTTGGTAAATCGAGAGAGGTTGTAATTCCTATTATGAATTTGATAGCCGTCTTCCGCAACACTTTAGGCTTGTAATGGAACACGGTTAAGCCTCTTCAACTCCCCGATGATAAACGAGACAATAACTTCACTTATTATGTGACACAAATAAAATTTAGGGTACCATACAATTAATAAAATGACACGAAATTATTAAAATACAAAATTTATTTCAATTTTATGAATTTAAGTTGACATTTTTTTAATACATGTTTAAGTCAGTGCTTTCATATTTTCATCCAACAAATTAACAGAGACCATAATAGGTTAAAGGAAAGAAAAAGAGAAGAACAAATGAGGCACTCAGAAAATAGAACCAATGCAAAGCGTGTCATTCAAAAAACTGTAATTGATTCATAAATTAAGTGAACTACAAAACATATGCTAAGAAGACTTGTCCTGCGAGGTTGGCGAGTTGGATCCCCTCAGTTTCTTTTCATCCGACAGCAGTTTTGCAAACCTTCAACACAAATATTATTAATCCATGGCATTTTCACTCCATACATTGTAATTTGTGAATGGTATATGTATGCATACCTTTTCAGTGCTTCCGCGTTGGTGCCACCACCTTCGACTGGTTCGTAATGGCCGGTGTCTAAACCGATGCGTGAAACAGTTTTGTCGAGTAACTTCACTTCGATTTCTACGAGCTTTTCCATGTTCACTTTTGTCGATACATCGATGGAGGCCATTTCCCCGGTTAGGTATCGTCCTATACCTGTTAAGTTTTGAGTAACTATATACTTGGAGCGAAACACGAGATAAAAAGGAAAAATGAGAAGCTAATGTCGATCGGGAGATAATTTTCCTGGGAATGAAGGGCTTTGAAGACGACGGAGTTATGGTAATCAACCATATCTTTGCTGGCTTCGCCAAAGAAATCAAATATAGGGCTATTGTTATCTTCAAATAACCAGCTTATTACACCCCATTTGGAGGCCGTTTTAGCATCGTATTTCTTTTCACGCCTGTTGGATCCTGCGCCTAACGAGATGACGTGGAATCGGGTGTAACTGTAATCCATTGGATCTATCCGGGAAAACTCTGGGTTATCTTTCATTATCTGTTTCGTCACTTCTCGTATGGCCACCAGTGTCTGATAACAACTTGTGTCAGTTTGTGTCATAATTTTATTTGTGTTTTAAGGTTTTGATTTTTCTACTTACGGGATTGTTTGCTGCGATGCCTCCATCGATTAGGTTGAACTCTTTTTCCTTGTTCTCGAAATAATATGGTGGGAAATAAGTTGGTGTTGCGGATGTTGCTATGCAGACGTCTGATAATAGGGCGTCAATGGCTGGATTTATAGGAATCTGCATACCCAAAACCTCTCACTTCTAAATACGATAAACATATATATATATTAATCGGATTGGACTAATCACCAATTTCAAGTTTAACAGGCCTATCAAATCCGATTCAAGATAATATTCTTTCGAATTACCTGATAGCCGGAGAAGATGGTTGGCTGAAGTTTCTTGATGTCGAAAGTAGGAATGGCGACTAATTTGGTCAAGGTTTGATGCAATTTTGTGTTCCCTAATAAGTCTCTTACCAGCTTGAAAAGATACTTGTCATCGTATCTTGGTCCCGCTAGAGCTTTCGGTATTTTCGAAGCCCAAGCCAAGATTCCACTACAATTTCATCCGTACACCAGAACGAAACAGAAAGATACAAGACAATAGAGATGATGTATATGCATAATTATATTATATTATATGACATACCACAAATACCTTGGCTGTGGGAAAATTTGAGGGCCATTTTTAAGGCAAAATGGCACTATATCTTTAGCAGCAAATAGAGGGCGGCCATGTTCATTTGGGCCGGCTAACATGGCTGTTATGAGACCACCTGTGCTTGTCCCTGTGATCACGTCGAAGTAATCCGCAAGCCTAACATCGTTACCGTCTAGTATCTGTTTTCAATACGACGTTAATCATATAGTTCTAAACATAATCGAATCACGTCAATAAATACAGTTAATTACCTGAAGTTCATATTCGAGTCTATTGAGGATAACTCCAGGAATGATTCCTCGAATCCCACCTCCATCAATACTGAGAACAGTGATAAGATTTCCATATACCGATGGTTGGTTGTCGGATACACTTCTCTCCATTTGCTGGTTAAATCGACAAGTTTGAAAAATGATTAAAGGAAGGATATTATTAGCGAGGAAGAGAGTTTTGAAATGATTAAACAATGTATGTATAGAGATTAATTCCAGACTTGGTCGTCTTTGATGAAATCAAAATATATGATTAAAAATATTCAGCTGACACTACTTTCCCTTAAGTTAAGGGTTCAACACCCATTAAAAACAAAATTCATCTTTCCTCTTCTCTCGAATAGAAATTATTTTAAAAAAATAATACTTCAACTTAGTAGCTGACCTTGGGCTTCCTATAGCTTATTATGCTCAACTTGGCTTTGATTGTTTGCTGATGAATGAATCGTATTAACAAAAAATAAATTACAAATTTTCTTCCATGTATCTAGTTTTTTTTTTTAACAATGAAGAGAAATCCAAAGTTTTTGGGCTCTGATTCAACTCTCCTATGGTGTTTGGGTATAAAAAGGCTTATAAATGGGCCGAAGAAACTAAAAAAAAAAACTTGTTAAAATATAATTAAATACCTCACATAATGATTTATGTAAATCCTCTAAACTCTTTATGCTTACATAAATACATTCATATAATCCTTTAAGTATACATTAAAATCTATACGGTGTTGAACCCATCAAGTGGTCTTAGTGGTGAAAGGAAATGTTGTTCTTAGAAGTCCTGGATTCGAGCCGTTGCATCTGTAATGTGTGCGCACATTGTCAATGACTAAGTAAGATTATGAAAGTATACTACCTTATGATCACCTTAAACTATTAAAAAATCTCTATAGAGGCAAGAAGAATATAAAGAACATGGGGCAGCCGAGAAATGTAATAAATGAAGGGTTGGGCTTAAACATGATATATAAGCCATCCAATGTGAATTTTCTCTTCTTTTCAGCTAATGGAATCCTCCAACTTGTATGGAGGCTCCCACATGCCGATGCCCCCCTTAAAAATCTTCCAATTCTAAGGGCTTTTTTAAACACCTAAACACTGTCCCTCCATCACTGTGCATCATAATGTCGAGTTTCAGACCCAGAAATGTTTGGTTTTTCATATTTGTTTGGGTCATTTGTCAAGAAATATTAGGATATGAAGGGAGGGATTTGAAGAGTGAACCGTGCGAGAAATGCTCAAGGCAAGGAGATGATCGTGATGGTAACGCTTGGAATATGCCCAAGAGTAGATATCAAGCCATTGGTTCAAGCCGAGAGCGAACCACTATGGCTCAACATGGCGATGACTTTCGACCAACAACACCAGGTCATAGTCCCGGAGCTGGTCATTGCATACAAAATTGATTCTTTTTATGCCCATCTTTGGGGACACATAAATTGTAATTTTACCTCTTTATTTTTCGAGGGAGCCAATGTATGATTTTGTGGCTTGATTGTAATTTTAATATATTTACGAATTTCAACGTATTATATATGTTTTAAATTTGTATTCGGTTATTTATGACGTATGTCGTTATATCGTATGATCATATAAAAATTAATTTTGAAAGTAATCTTTATAAATAAATTTATATTAAATTACTTCGACGACTAATATGCTATCCGATATATGAATCGAATTCTCTCATTTGATCTTGTGTAATTTGGGGGCATGATTAATCCAAATACAATGTTCATGGTCTTCCGATTTAGGGCACTAATCTGTCTCCTTACAGCTCATCAATGTTTTACATTGTTGCCGTACTCCAGCCACTAATTATATTCTAACATGGTAGTAGAAGTTCCTTTTGGTGAGAAAACCTCATATATAAGCGCTACTGTAAGTCTATTAATCCGTAAAATAAGGATATGGTCCAATAAGAGATGACATTTAAGGAGACATGCATAACTCTACTGTGGACTTTAAGATCAATTCTGGTCCTGATTTATTATATTTCCAAGCTAAATATAATTTATAATGTCTCGATCTAAAATATATTTTTTATTAAAAGATATATTTTAATCAATTAAATTCAATTTCATCAAATACTCATTATCGTGTTACACTTTCATTATAAGTTTTAACTTCAGTGCCAATAGTTTGCATCGAAATGGAGTAAAAATCACCTAAAATAGTTATTGAATAAATAATTACATATAATTGTTTATTTAACGTCTTAAAATCACGCACGAATCAAACAACCACGGTAATAAATGAATTATTTTTATTCTTTGAGGTCTCGATTCGAATATCATAAATTTTCAGAATATAAACATTCAATGTCAAATCATTGAAATTTATCTTAGAACATATATTTTTTATACTTGTCCTATATTAATAAAACTCATAAAATCATAAAAAAAAATATAAAACAATCGTAATCCTAATCCTTAACTTGCTCATTGTTTTCCCTTGAATTTTTATTCTTAAACATTAAGGAACCACTTTGGTCTTAGTTGTTTTATCCATTTTCATCAAATTACCCTACATTGGTTAAAAAAGCACACACCAAATTTCCCTATCATTTTCCAACATTCCAAAATTGCCTTCAGTGATCTTTAAAACAAGAGGACAACAATGGACCACAAGACTGAGTCATGACCTTGAATGACGAACCCCCTTGCAGATAAGGGGGAGAATATATCATGTCAGGCTTTAAAAGGTCGCCTACGATGAATTTTTTTGACTTAAACTCAGTTTATAATCTATCAAAGGTTTTTATTTTGGTTCAACTTGATATTTTTAAAAGTTTAGTCTGGTCTAATAGTCTTTTTAAAAACCTTTTTAGAATCGGGTCAGATTTTATATTAAAATATTTAGAGTCAGATTTGAGTCGAGTTTAAGATTAAAATAATTTTATCCGACCCAATCTGAATAGTTAATGCATAATTATTATTTTTATTTTACTTTTTTTACTTTCCTATTCCTAACCTATAAATAACTGATCTAAAACCCCTTTCTTTATGTCCAACTATGGAATTTTAAAGACCATCACTTTTGTTTTTACAACCAAAGTCATAAAAATCAAGTGATGACCCAAGTTCTAATCATAGTGGTTGTGGCAGGGCCAGCACGTCAGCATCAAATTTGAGTGGCACTGACACTCTAATCATAGTGAACGTGATTTTCAATTATTATATTAGGTATATATACCTAATGCCCATCCCTATATATATATTTATATCCAAAAAAAATAATATATATATATAGGCCGACCTATTAAATTTATAAGGATTTTTAATAAACCTAAACCTGAAATATTTAATTTAATTAACTTTTAAAAAGTTCGAATTTAACCTTTTTATTAAATAGGTCAATTCAAATCAGATTTTATGTAAATCATGTCGTAGGCTCTATAAGCCGACCTTGACTATTCCCACCCTCACTTGCAGGGCGGTAAGGCCCGCCGTTTGCTGTAAGGAAAAATGAACCAAGGGTAAAATAAACAATTCACACCACCAAGAATATAATTTGGCAAGTTAATGGATTGCCATGGTCGTCCGTTATTAGTATTTTTTTTCAAAACCTAAATGTCTTGGAATTTCCTAACGGAGCTTTATTTCAACTGCGGTAACATAAAATTCCAATTTCACCCATAAGTATATTTTATTAGTTTTAATGTCATATTTCAAAACAGGGTAAATTACACATGTAGATGCAGTACTTAAATTATTGCTTTTTTGTTTTGAAACCTAAACTTTAGTTGTTTTCAAAATTATATTTAATATTTAATTTAAATTTCATTTTGATATCATACCGTGAAAAATTTAATAGAACTATTGACATAACATTTTTTATTTTTTTAAAAAATAATGTGATATTACCTTATAATGATACATCAACATCATCGTTAAGTTTTTAATGACGATATATTAAAACAAAACTTAAACTAAATGTTAGGTACGGTTATGAAAAAAATAAAATTTAAATACCAAAACAGAATAAAAGTAATAGTTCAAGTACTAAGCATATAGTTTACCCTTAAAAATATTATATATTAACAAATTTATACTTTCGTTATTTTATATATTATTTTCACGGCTTGTATTCAATTGTGCCCTTTGTCTCTCGAGAATCTAATCAGAATCAGGTGAACGACGGCGTTTCGGAACTTGAATCCAATGGACAATATAGTAATTTGGAGTCTCTTTTATTTTTCTCAGGTGTGCTTTCTGTTCTAAGCTTTATATTGTTTGGTTTGTCTCAAAATTTAAGAAAACAAATTCCCTAAAATTTCGGCAGCATATTTTTTTCAGATGATTTTCTTCTTTGCTCAAAAATGGAATCCAAAACCCTAACGATCATCAAAGCTGGAAAACAGCTGCTCCCCATGTTCAACTCTCATCGGTAATTCTTATTTGTAGTCACTTTCTCGAACCTTCCTTCCCATTTTCTCGCGCTTTCCATCTTTCCAAACACATCCGATTCTAGTTCTCTTATAAGTTATATTGCTTGTTTTAGAACTTCGATTATTATATCTGTTTCCTTTTTTTTAAAAGCTTTTTGAACTTCCGATTGCTTATTTGGTTAAAAGACTGTATCTTTAGCGGATGATTTTTTTTCTTCAATTAACTAAAACATGTTATAGTGATGAAGACTTCGTTTTAATCTACTTTAAACAGTATTGAAAGTTGTTTTATGTATAAAATCTTTCAATTTCTTGCCAAGTTATCGTTTTCTTAACTTCTCCAAACTTGTATTAAGCTGGACAGTATGAAATTTGCCGATGAAATGAAAGTTCTTTAATGATGATTTTTGTAGTTTAGTAAGTTTATTGATTACCGTTTCTATAAATACATAAATTAGACTTGTTGCTATGGCGGCGTATTTTATTAGATCCCTTAAAGACTTTTTTTTTATTATTTTATTTCTTCGGGCTTAAGCAATGTTCAAAAAATGGTTTAAAATAATGGGAAAAAAAGGCTTTAAGCATGCCTCTTTCTGTTCTTCAGTTAGTTTTGAGTCTTCTGAAATTGAGGCCGTTGCTTGTTTTTCCAATCATTTTTTATTGAGAGTAAAAGGGAGGAACTAGTTTATTTGGTTTCACCTTAGTTGCTTATTTTAGCTGTTAATAAACTACTTTCTATGTTTTTTCAACTAAGCATTTTACTTGGTGGTTTTTTTCAGGGAAATGTTTCAACCTGCTAAAGCATTCCATTTTTTCTTGGTTCTGTCTTGTACCCCTTTTTGCTTAATTATATGTGAACCATGTGCTGTGAATGGGATGCCAAAAACAGATGAATTCAAGGGGTGTGAAAAATATGGAGATACTCAATATGTTGGTTTTCAAGAATCTATTATCAGTGATATACATCCGGGCGATGATACTGGAACTTCTATGACTGGTTTAAGTGTTGAGAGTGTATGCACCAATTCTCGTTCGTTCTGTTTTCCTTCAACATTGCCTGGGTTTTTGACTGAAGAGACTACGCTTGAAGTAGGTGGTTTAGAAGTGTCTAGGACTCAGTCTGATAGTGTGTCATCTCATGTAGAACAAAGTAATCTTAGGAGGCAGACAAGTAACAGAAGTTGGTTATCTAACCATAGTATGTTTAAATTATTAAATGGTCGGACGGTTTCATGTTCTTTATATTCAAGAGCTGGCATCCATGAGCTTTCGTCAGTTCATACTGATGGTGCTAATCAAAATGATATTTCTTCATGTAGAGAACCTTTACTAGGTCAGAAGAGTGCAAGTATTAGTATGAAAAAGCACAAAGAGGTGACAGAAATGGGTTCTTTTGACAGTTTATCTTCACCTAATGTACAGATCAATCCATCTATAATGGATTGGGGACGGAAATTTTTATTTTTTCCTTCAGTGGCTTACTTGACAGTGGCAAATACATGCAACGAAAGCATTTTACTCATTCATGAACCATTCAGCACCAATATACAGTTCTATCCCTGCAATTTTAGTGAGATTTTGCTTGGACCTGGTGAAGTAACTTCAATATGTTTTGTATTTTTACCTAGATGGGTGGGGATGTCATCAGCTCAACTTATTTTGCAGACAAGCTCTGGTGGTTTCCTGGTTCAGGCTAAGGGATTTGCTGTGGAATCCCCTTACGAAATTCAGCCATTACTAAGCCTGGATATTCCTTCTAGTGGGCAGTTGAGTAAGAACTTGTCTTTGTTCAATCCTTTTGATGAAACCCTCTATGTGGAAGAAATAACTTCATGGATGTCAGTTTCTCTTGGGAATTCTACCCATCATACTGAAGCTGTTTGTAGTATAGAAAACTTCAAGGGCTATAGTGGGGAAAGCTTACTTGGTGCTGAAGATTGGATGGTCATGAACAGTGGTAAATATGGTTTTCCACTTATGGTTATGAGGCCAAGCAGGAAGTGGGAGATTAACCCTCAAAGCAGTGAAACCATTGCAGAGATTGATTTATCCTTTGAATCAAAAGGAAAATTTTTTGGTGCTTTGTGCATGCAGGTACAGAGGTCTGCACAAGACTCTTCTGATATAGTCATGGTTCCTCTTGAAGTTGATTTGAGTAGGAAAGCATCCTATGATGACCGTGCAAGTTCTCTTTTAGTTTCTCTTGAAGCAATGGTGCCGTATGATGGCAGTGAAACTGTTTCTGTGGCTATCACTTTGAAAAATTCTGCTCCTTATGTGCTGAGTTTTGTCAAGATTGATGAAGTTGCAGATGCCAAGGTTTTCCACATCAAATACATGGAAGGGTTGCTGCTCTACCCTGGTGCTGTTACACAGGTTGCAGTGGTTGCTTGCACTAAACTACCAGTTGAAATTCATGATTCTTCTTCTGAAGTATCCAACATGATCAGCAGTTGTAAATTGCTTTTAATGACAAATGAGTCTATTAGCCCTCAGATTGAAGTTTCTTGTGAGGATATAATCCATATCTGTGTGGAACATTGGAAAAATTTATCGATGGTATATGAACGTCTGTCTGAAAAGGTTAAAACTGGCAACACAAGGACAGTATCCTTGAGTGATGGCATGCAACTGACATCTCCGGCCAAGGTTTGCTTGTTTTGGTTACAGTGACATAACTTGAACCATTGAAATTGTTTCTTCTTTGATATGTTTATTATTCTGGTGATTGATTCTCCATTCATCTTTGTGCACTTATAACTCTTTCCTATCTTGCATATATTATAGAACCTTTTTATCTTTTGCAGCTATATGATATATCAGGATTGCTTTGTTAAAAATATAAATCAGATCATAATATTCTTGCTACCTGTTAACATTTGGAATTGCTCATTGTCTGTATACGTTTATTACCATGCATGTAAACATCTCTCTCCCTTTAACACTTTTCCCCTCTCTCCCTTCTTGGTTCATGCACAAGCTCACATTCTTCAAATAGTAATTACTTGTACTAGATCTATGTTTAGGATACAACTAAGGTCATGTGACTATATGTAGGTGTTGCAGATGGCAGAAGTGGATGAATTGGTACTTGGAAATTGGAAATCTCAAGGTACCGCAGGTGGCATGTCAGTGCTTGGTGATCATGAGGTTCTGTTTCCAATGGTTCAAGTTGGAAGTCACAGCTCCAAGTGGATCACTGTGAAAAATCCTAGCACACAGCCAGTTGTAATGCAGCTCATTCTTAACTCGGGAGAAATCATTGACGAATGTAGGAACAAAGATGTTTTTATGATGCCCCCTTCTGGTAGCTTGGCTCACAATTCATCTCCAATGCCAATGAGATATGGGTTCTCCATAGGAAAGAGTGCAACAACAGAGGCCTATGTTCATCCTAATGGTAAAGCATCTTTTGGGCCAATTTTGTTTCACCCTTCGAATCGATGCGGGTGGACAAGTTCTGCACTGATAAGGAACAACCTTTCTGGTGTTGAGTGGTTATCTTTGAGGGGATATGGTGGATCTATTTCTCTAGTTCTGTTTGAGGATTCAGCGCCCATCGAGAGTGTAGAGTTTATCCATAGCTTGCCAACTTCTCTGAACATCTCTCCTCCACAAACGTTTTTTCACGTGGAAGAGACTACTAATGCATGTTCTCAGCCATTATCAAAAGAACTTTATGCCAAGAATACCGGAGATTTGCCACTTGAGGTTAAAAGCATTGAGGTTTCTGGGACAGAGTGTGTAGTTGATGGTTTTACAGTGCATAGTTGTAAAGGTTTCTGTCTTGAACCTGGAGAGTCTATGAAGCTTTTGATATCATACCAGTCAGATTTTCAGCAGCTTTGGTACATAGAGATCTTGAACTGGCTTCAGCTACAGGCATTTTTGTCATACCCATGAAGGCAACTCTACCTCTGCATATGCTAAATCTTTGCAAAAGATCAGCATTCTGGATGCGAATAAAGAGACTCTGTGTTGCAATTCTTCTTTCTGCTTCTATATTGCTTCTCATGTTCTGTTTCATTTTGCACCAAGCAATGATCGTGGGTTCCCAAGATTACTTTTACAAGAGTGAGGAGATCCGGATGAGTACAATCCAAGCAATGGACAGTTTGGTAAGTTCAGTTGAGGATTCTAAATCTTTGAAGGAGCCTGCTAATGGTAGATTCCCAGATTGTCATGTTACGGAAAAGGAAGAGCGGTTAACTAATAAGAATGGAAAACTAACACCTGAAAATGACGGGGATCTTAACAGTTTCTTAGATCGTGGGGGGGAAATTTCATTCCCATCATTACCCTCAAAATTGACGGTGGCTGGAAATCCTGATCCAAAGGAAGCACCTCAAACTGGTAGCCTTACCATCCGGATTGGGAAAGAAAAAGGAAGGAGGCGAAGGAAAAGGAGAAGTGGATTTAAGGAATTGATTGAAGTTTCAAGTAGTCAAAGTGGAAACTCCACACCTTCATCGCCTCTCTCCCCTATAACATCTGTAACACTGAATCACCCATGGCCCCTCTCGTCCTATGTGGAGCAATCTGTTGAGTCTAGAGATCCTTTTATGCGTTTGACTGAGCACATCCGCCAGAAGGGTGAAGTTCCTCAACCTGTCTCCAAAGCAAATGTATTGGGACCTAAAGTTTCCATGGATCACAGTAGCAGCAATTGGTATTCTTTGACACAAGAGCAGCCTAGAGTACCAAGAAAATTTGGTTCAAAACCAGTTCTCTCGCACTCTTCTGCTTTACCTTTTGCTAGCACGCAGAGCTCCTCTTCTCCTTTGGCTTCAACATCTGTGATCGCGCCTTGTGCTCGAGCTCCGGGATACCAAAAAAGCTTAAAAACAGAAAGAAAAGGTGGAATTGGAGATGAATATACTTATGATATTTGGGGTGACCATCTTTCTGGACTCAATTTGAGGGGTAGTTCAAGGGATGTTGTAGCCATGAATCCCAACATTACAGAAAATAACTCTGATAGTTTCTTTGTAAGGGGGCCACAAACCCTCGTGAACAAATCTCAACCAAGATCTGTAAGTTGTTTCAATCAAGATGGGTAATGATAAATAATTTACACACATTCATGTGCATGCATGTTCTTCTTTGCATCTGCATACAGGTGTTACCTTAGGGTAACATCCATTTGAATATCATATTCGGGTATAATCTTATGTTAGATTCAGAGTAAGTACGGTGAGACAAGGGTTGTTCGATATTGAATTCAGAATTTTATTTCAACAGAAATATATTGCATCAGGACTTGATAATAAAATTCAAAATTCGAAGATCGTTTCTTCCTTGATTATTTTTTATTTAGCGTCATCATGTTACCCACATATTATTGAGCAGATCTTTCTTAAGCCTTGAGGTATAACCACACTAAACCATTCTCTTGATTTGGACATGCAAGATTATATTTGAATTCAAGCACAATCGATTTAACGCTTTTTGGTTCATTCATATATTTATAATTTTCTCATAACTCGCCATTGGCTTTGAAATCGTACGATGTTTCAAAGAACACGTGTCGGATCTATGTCTTGTACCTTTTTTTGGTGGAACAAAGGGATAATGTCTGAGACCGTAACTATGCTTTCTCCATATACCAACATAAATTTTCGTCGAAAGAATCATCTTCGCCACACACAGCATCAGATTGAACCAAAAAGTAATTTAAATCACTTTTAAAAATAGTGAATAAAAGACGAGACCAAAGTTTCAGATATTCCTAAAATTATCTTCTGAACCATAGAATTAGATCCTTTGTAAAAGGAAGAAAATCTCATACACTTTCTCTAACAAAGAACGGAACAGCACAAGTACTCAAATATGCTCCCAGTGCAGTCATAGCAGCAAGAACAACTGAAAAAAAGGGGAAAAGGCAGGAGACAAAGATAGAGAGAATTGAACAAGTAGAATCATACTATAAGAAACAAGATTAAAAAAAAAAGGAAAAAAAAAAGACAAGGAGGGTGAGTACCATTCGTCAACAACATTGTTTTGTTCATCTTCTTCAACCTGGAAACTCTTGGTGGAATCATCTATGGATTGGGTTGCTGGTGGTTCCATTTTTCTTCGTTTCGAATTGTCTGCTAAAAAACAACAGTTTGAGCAGATGATGGTTTTGAAATAGAAAGCGAGGAGAATGAAGATGAAATGTGCGTTTACTTGTTCACGCGATTGCAGTCAGCTCAAAGTTGCGAAGAAGAAAGAAAACAAGTTTGAATTGAATTTGAAGGTGATTCAATCACTAATCAATTCTTTTGATTTTTTTTTCTAGACTTTTTAATCAGAGGAAAACACATAAATCTCAGCCGTTGAATTAATCCAATGGTGGAAAATCTGACAGAAATACCTTCCTCTTAAATTGACAAAGAGGTTGGCTACCTTTCATTCACATCCTATGATCTTATTATCAGAGTGAAAATCTATCCTATTAAATAAGGGTCTTTTATTTATAAGAAAAGGATAGATAAAATAATATTTATTTATTGTTTGGATGGATTTTTTTATTAAAGATAAAATAAAGTAGGGACTAATCTACAAGTTTCATATGAAAGATTTATTACTGAAATATTTGTGAGTAGACCAAAGAGTGTGAATTATATAAGTTAGCCTGTGCATAGAGAGGGTTACCTATAGGTGGCTTTTAAATTCCGTCAAATTCAGATCTTATGTTCATCCCCAATTATACACCCTACTATGCCCTAAAATAATTATTTTTTTAAAGTTCATATATTTATTAATATTTTATATCATACAAATTTACATGAAAAAGAAAAATGAACTTTTATTAATAAAAAATAAAAAGAGAAATATAAAAATTTTAAGTTTCATCGTTTTAATTGAACCAAACTTGGAAAGAAAATATTATACAAGTTGAAAGAGAAACTTGCACTGTTATACACAATTCGTTACAGCATTGGATCTCAATTAGTACAAACCAAAAGTAGAAAGATCCAATCTTTGGATATCCTTCTAAAAGTCAACTATTTTGAACTCATGGAGACGACAATGTCACCTTCTGTAACTGTGAGAGACATGAAAAACGAAGAGCTTTCTCCATTTTTGGAAGCTCTAAAAAGTAAAAACCTATTTCTGGATGATGGAAATCAGGTATGGGTTAGAGTCGACCGCGTAGCTCGGGAGCATTTTTACTTGGGTTCTCCATGGCTACAAGTTGAAACGGCACCCTCCGAGGTGTTGAGCGCAATGCTCGAAGCTTTGCCTTGTTCACGGAAAACCTCGAAAAATAACGTACAGCGTTCTGTTTTCATTCTTGAATTTGTCATCTGAAAATATGGAGCTTCTTAGACTCTTGGTTAGAAGACCTACTAAAAGGGCTGAGGTGATGGGCACTTTGACCCGAGCGTGGAGGAGACAAACTGGGAAGGGTCTCGAGGGTCGAATGAGGGGAATTACGTGCAGCCACTCTTAACTCTGGACTCTTGTAATGAGATCGTTGTGTAGTCCCCCTGGAGAAAAATAAATAATGAGCCGATAGTCCAAGGAAACGAGATAAGTCGATGGCCATGCAAAGATGAACTCTTTACCTCACAGGAGTCACAATTTTCGGACTTCGTTGGCTTGACTGCACAGGCGACTGATCCAATTTGAATTCAGATCGCTCTCCAGGACTGAGGGGCATATCCTGCATGTATATATATTAAGTTAGTAAATAGGCGATTAGATGCCAGCGGCAACGAGAGGGGAAGTGTTCTTATTCACCGTGGACTTTATCCCATTGGAAGATGAGGCACCCGACTGAGGTGAGCATTTTACAAATATATGCTCGAGTAACATGCTTGCAGTCGTTCTCTCTGCAGGATTCCTTCTGAAGCAACAGCGTAGGAAATCCTTCCCCTCTGGTGATAATGTTTCAGGAATGGGAGGGGTATCCTTCATCACTTTAAACATTGCTGCAGCCTACATTAACAAAAAGAAAAGTTGGCATGTTTCGATTTTCTCCAAGGCACGGCGAGATTAATGAAGCGAATGAAGATTACATCATGTGCTTACCCCTTCATACTCACTCCATGGTGCTTTACCAGTGAACATTTCGATAATGGTACAACCCAAACTCCAAATATCAACAGCTAGAGCGAGATCAGAACTATTATCTTTCTGCATCACGGCTTGCATAAGCTGCAATGAAATGAACAATGTCAGTACGTATAAACTACAGACGGAAACGCATTGATATATTACAAGATAGTACCTCTGGAGCCATCCAGTATGGACTTCCCTTCAAAGATAGATCAGCTCTTTGTCCGCTAAGCTGCGCAACAAACAGATCCAAAATTATTCAAGCTGAATCGTAAAAATTGACAACCAGCAAAGACCTTCAAGCTGTGTTTCTTGGAGGAATGGTGAGCAAAGAAAGACGATACAGACTGTACCCGAAGAGAAGGGGAAGATACAAAACTCACATGTTTAGACATCCCAAAATCAGCAAGCTTGACAACTCCGGATGCATCAACGAGCAAATTAGCCCCTTTAATATCTCTGAATAGAACAGGTAAAAGCTCATATTAAGCTATCGATAATTCACGCAACACTACTCAAATAGGTTCATTGTCTCCGCTTAATCCAGAAATCATGATACAGTGCTTTGTACCTGTGGATTGTCATTGTGCTGTGGAGGTAAGCCAACCCGGAAAGAATATGGCGAGTAAAATTGCGGACAACGGATTCTGTTATGGCACCACAGTGATCATGAACATATTTATTAATCGAACCAGGATGAACATACTCCAGATATATGTAGAACTTGTCTTCAACCTGCATATGCATAATTTGAAAGCCTTAATAGAAGTCCATGAGATGACAATTGGCACAAGAAGAAGGGATGAAATCCTAAATCCACAATCCGCATGTTACTTACTGTTTCACTACCATAATACTGAACTATGTTTGGATGCTTCAGCTGGCTAAGAACCTTAATCTCCTGCAATCAAATAAAACAGTAAGGACAGTGGTAAAAGAAAGAAACAGCACTCCGTAACCATTTAATCCGCGCTCTACTGTCTCTAGAGTGAAGAAAACCTGCTCTAGTTGCTTTATAGACTCTGCTGACTTCGGGTCATCGGGAAATATCTCAACTTCCTTCATTGCACATAATGCGCCTGTTTCTCTGTCATAAAGAAGAGGCCCCTTTGGCATATAGATTGCAAGAGGAACGGAAGCAAATGTGTATAGAACTTACATACCTATTACTGGCAACATAAACGCTTCCAAATGTACCACGTCCGATAAGCTTGCCTTTTTGCCATTGACAATTCATCGGGAACGACTCTGGTTTAGTTGGAACTTGGGGAATGGGAGCTGAAGGTGAAGCCAGGGTTGCTCCAGGAGGAAGAGGTAATGGATGGACAATAGGGCCACTACTTTCAGATCGGGTCGACGGAAACTCCTGATGTGTTGGTGAAGGTGGTCCACTTTGGCTTCTATATGTTGGACGAGGACTTTTAATTGGACTGTGAAGAGGAGTATTATCGGTACTGAATACGGTGCAATCATAGAATGCTGGGGGAGGAAGTCCCGTCATATCTAATGTCGGCATATCCGGTGCAGACCAGACTTGTTTTCCCGTAGGGGGAGCAATGTAGTTCGGAAACACGTCACCGGTACTCATTCGGTGTGGACTAAATGCGGACGAACTAGAAAACGGACTCGCAGGGGCACTCCTAATAGGAACATTCACCCTAAACTCATCCTGAGAACAGTCCCCTCGATTCACTTCTTGATGCAAAACCTTCAGGGTTGATATTATGCCCAAATACTCCGCCATCTTCCTCGCGACACGAGACACGAACATACTGTAATTCGATACATCATCCAACTTCAGTTATAACAGAATCCATAAAAAGAAGTTATCAGAATGTTTAAATCCATTATAAACTTCGAGATTGAGCATTCAGAGTATCAGTCAAATAATGTTGATATTGTGAATAAATAATCCACCATATCATAATTTGTTCCTTAAATTAACATATTGAATATCAAATTCCATAATAAAAAAATGCAAAACAATATTTAAAATTTGCAGCTACGTATTAATTAAAACTAGTAATCGAGATTAAAAAATTCACCTAGAATTGGAAGGAGTTCCATCTACTTTTTCTCTATCTCTATCCTCTAAAGCTCTACCATGCCCAACCTCAGTCGGCGACGGCAACCTTTGCTCGCCGTCTCCTTCAGGAAGCGGAAGCGGAAGCGGCAACGGCACCGTCAACGGCGAAGGTGGTGCCCTCGAAGTAGGAACTGAAGACGACAATGGGGAATCGAAGCTGGAGGAGGGCGGAGACGCCACCGACTCCCGGTCGCTGAGACGCGTTAGCTTAGGCCCCGCAATGCGAAACCCCAAGTAATGGTGACGAAAGATGTGGCGTTGCTTGTGATTACGCTTATGATAGCTATTATTATCTTGAAAATGCTTCCCGGAAGAAGCTGCCGGTGTGGAAGCGATGTTGGAAGAAGAAGCTGACGACGAAGAAGAAAAGGAAATATTCTGAAGCCAGCGCATGGCTTGAAATCATTCTAAAAACAAAAAGAAATCAAAACGAAAAATTCCCCCCGAATATAAAATGAATCACAAACGAAATATTCGAAGGAAAATCCCAGAAAAAGGTTTTAAAAAGGAAAAAAATAGTTTGGATTTGAACGCAGTTCTGGTTTGGAATTCTGGATGTCGGGAAATCAGTTTCCTTATTGTTCTGTCTGAAAAACCCCACAAACAACACGCTTTACGCCAGAAGCTCTTTTGTTTTGCTTTTAAATACGTCAAAAAAGTCAATCCCTCTCCGCCTTTTTTCTACTTATTGTTTTAATGGATATTTTATTTTCTCAATTTTTAATAAAAATCTTTTATCCAAATTTGTTTTTAGTTAAAACGATACTGGTAATAACCAAGTACAGTATGTAAATAATTTAATTCACTTTTAGAGTTTATAAAGTAGTTTTTAATTTGTAGTATAGAGAAATAAACACAAAAATAATATAAAAACAAAATTTGAACATTTTGGTTATAAGAACAATAACTCAATAAGTAGTTAGATTAGTTGAGGAAATTCAGTTGTTTCAACGATTTTACTATAAAAACTGACGTGGCAATAACGATTTTTACAGTAAAAACTGACGTGGCAATAATAAAAAACTCAACATTTTGCAGCCGTTACCGATAAGCAACTTATATATATTGTATTTTAAAAAAAAAATTATATTCGTTGATATTCAGATTTTATGTTGATATTTCATATATAGTGTTTTTTTCTTTTGTTATTATTTAAAAAAAAAATTATATATAACTACGAATCAAATGATTTTAGTAGTTAAGAATTTTTTTTTAAGTTCCTTGTTCGAACACCATAATGTTATATTCCCCAACCTATCTGAGGAAGATTTTTCTTCTTGGTTTGGGGGGGGGGACTCATTCCAACACCTTACCAATAATTAAAAATAACAATATTATCAATAAATAATAATTATCAATAAACAGTATTTTATAACAGTAAATTGTATTTAAAACAACCTGGTCGCAATAGAAAATAATATTAATAAATTTATGATTGATATCATCGTATACTGAAATTTAAGATTTTATATAATCTTTATTAATATTTATTTATTTTTTTAAAAAAATTAATTAGTGTGAGTTTAGAGATTATTTTTTATATTTTGTAAGTTCAATGGGAGTAAAGACCCAATCTAAATTAATTGATCAATAGATTAAATATCAGTGATTAATTAAAAAAATTGGAGTAAAAGGATGAATGGACTTGGTCCTACACTTTATAATCTCTAAAAATAAAATTTAGTATATATTTTTTTAACGAAGTAAGACCGAGACGATGGGGGAGAAACAGTGAGCGGGAGGATTCAAGACCGGGTCACACTCCACTTGGCAGAGCACCGGGTTTAGGCAAATTCAACGGTCAAACTTTCAAACGGCCCTTTGCTCTTCTCTTTTAGGACGCGTCGCCATTTCTGCTTCTTCCCAACTTTGACTCCTTGACCCTGAAATTACTATATATTCATAACTCGTATAGTTCTATTATATTTTTCATTGTAATTATATATAATTTATTTTATATTTGTATAAATAATTAATAATTAATAATAAAATCAACTGAATTTTAATTTAATTAATGTCTTATGAAGACCCAATATATGTATCTGGACAAAAGGATGCAGCCAAAATAGAATGACAAGTAAGCCCACGTCAAACCCCTATTTATTGTATTGACAAAACAAGTTGAGGATTGGATGTCATCGGCAAAACGCCCATTAAAAGACCCACAATATTTAATCTGGGAATATATGATACGAGGAAGATAGTTTGAATGTTAACTTATTTTCCCGAGAAACAGTCATGGTTGTTTCCAAGTCGGAGTAGAGGAAAGTCGTTGAGGAAGAAAATGGACAGGAAAAATCTTGCTAAAACAACTCATTGGGCTGCCGACATCTTTGGTACAAGACAAGTCTTGGGAATATGCCAATGTTACAAACTACCCAAAAACCCTCTCACCAATCATACAACATGTTGGCACTATCTCATGCGTGGGCATGGTTAGGAAAGACCGAAAGAGAATTAGGAGATTTGGGTGATTTTTCTTATTTTATTAATAATATATACTTATTTTGTAAGCATAATTATTTAAATTTAAATTTTATAAAAAAATAATATTTTTTTATCATTAAAGTCATTCGATGAATTTAAATTTTTATTATTATTAGATTAGAAGAAGTCGTCTTGGTGTGATATTAATAATAAATTTTTTCTTTGCACTATATATAGTAGATAAATGTTAGCACAAGTTAAATTGTACAAGGAAAAGACACATGTATATGTTATTTAATTACTTATTGAATATATATTTAAATTATTAATTTTAAATACTTAAAAATTAATATATAAATAATGTAAATTTATATAAAAATAATAATTCTTTATATTATTTAAATATTAAATAATACTCGCGATAAGCTATCGACCGAGCATTAATTTACAACGCTCATATTTCAAGTTAAAGTTGATTCCTTTTTCTCTTATGAGGAAAATGTTAATAAAAAATAAATCCATATTTTTTTCTAATTTTTTATTTGAATTTTTTATTTTGTATTTAAATAATTTATTATGATTTTAAATAATATTTAATAAGATTTTCTCCTAAATTTATAACACTTATATTTGAATATACGACTTTCAAAATATCTTAGGAACAAATATATCAAAGAGAAGTCGATCACAGTTGGGAGTTATCCTACTTATTCCTCAAAAGCACTGCAACGAATCTATTCTTTCCGTATGCTAATTTCTTTATTATTAAGAAAATAATACGGCTTGAAACTTGAAAGTTTGTAACTTTCCTTTGTTCCGAAGTCTTTGTCACGAATAGCCAATCCTCTTCTACACGAATTTACCAAAACATCCGTTCAAATCAACTATACTATGCGTACCCAACATACGCATTTTGAATGCTCTCAACTAGTTAATTTTGAATTAAAATATTATATTAATGATGATATTAATAAAATTAACATTAGTTTTATACAACATTAAAAATATCAAAATTAAATTCATATAATTTAATTTTGAGTAATACATCATTTCCTTATTCATTATATTAAATATTACTTTTTAATAAATATCATATTATAATAAGATAATTAGATTATTTATCAACAATGATGGAACCAAAACCGTCAGATCACTTTGATGTGTAAAAGACAGCATAGAACCGACTCACCTCTCATCATTCCAAAATCACGTGACTCAGGGACATTTAAGTCATTCACAATTTCCAAGTCCTAATTGAAAAAGAATGTACCCAAAGATAGGAGCCAATCTTATTGGTTATCCAAAACGCAAACCACCGCCAAACGACGCCGCATTTCTTCCTCTCCTTCCTTTGGTCCCATCAGATATTTCCTTGGAATTATCACTCCCTCTTCCCCAAAAAAGTCGTATCCTCCTCTTCTTCACAGTTACATACACTCGATTTATCATTGATCAACTAAAAGAAACACTTTCTTTTTTAAATTCAGTAACCGACTCGTTTAACTCAGTGACTCATCTACGAAACTGAGTCCGGTGTTTAGAGGTTTTTCTTTGGTGACGCGTCGTGAGTTTTTTTGTTCTCTTTGAAGTGATAAGATTCAAGAAACTGAAAAGATAGCAAAATGGATCGAGCTGGGCCGGCTATGGATATGCCGATCATGCACGACAGTGACCGTTACGATTTCGTTAAAGATATCGGGTCGGGTAATTTTGGAGTCGCCCGGCTTATGAGGGATAAGGTTACTAAAGGGCTCGTTGCTGTCAAGTACATCGAGAGAGGCGATAAGGTTAGATTAAATTTCCCCCCCTCCAAATTCATAAACAGTAACTTTCCTTTTTCTTTTTGTTTCTTCGATTTCGGTCTATTTATGGAAATAAAGTTCTGTTTGGATAATAACGGCAGTTATACTTATCGAATTTTCAACTACTTAACGATTTTTTTTTCTTTTCAATTTTTAATATTGTATTAACTGCATTATTTATAATTATATATATTTGTGGTGTTGTACAGATAGATGAAAATGTTCAAAGGGAGATTATTAATCATAGATCATTGAGGCATCCTAATATTGTTAGATTTAAAGAGGTAAGGTTAATTAATTACATTTTTATTTCTTTAAACCTGAAAGTATTTTGGTGTTTTAAGTAATAATTATGGAAAATGTTAATTTTAGGTTACTTTAACACCTACTCATCTTGCCATTGTTATGGAATATGCATCTGGAGGTGAGCTTTTCGAGCGGATTTCTGCTGCTGGTCGATTCAATGAGGATGAGGTTTCATTTTCTTGTATTTTTCGTTATTTTAAATCCTATCATTTTTCCCCCTCTTTTGTTTATGCATTCATTTGTTTTGGTGCAGGCTCGCTTCTTCTTCCAACAGCTTTTATCCGGTGTTAGTTATTGCCATGCAATGGTAGTTTTAGTTTATCCATTCCTTTTTTCCCCCATGAATTATGTGTTGGATATGGGACAGTTTCTAACTGAAGAAAACTTTTATTACCTGGGATAATAATCTTATTAGAAAATTTTAAAAAGAATGAATGTAAGTTGAACACATATCCATATCTGATACAATAAAACCCGAGTAACATCAGTGTTACTATAATTTGTTTTTGCTCATCAAAATGATTTCTGTCTTGATGAAGCAAGTATGCCACCGTGATTTGAAGTTGGAAAACACTTTATTGGATGGAAGTCCAGCTCCCCGGCTTAAGATTTGTGATTTTGGGTATTCAGAGGTATACATTGCTCGAACCCTTTGTTGTTCTCCTCTCATTCGATGAGGTTCATGGCTCTACATTCTATAATGTGAGACATTTGGAGTTATGTTCTTCGGCGATCTTTTTTTACTTCCATATTGGATTATGATAATTATTCTTTGCTTAAAGAAATCTTGTCTTGGTTTAGTTCCATTGAAGCCTTAGCTTCCATTTACATTTGTACATGAAGTAGCCTGTGAATTTGTCGGTTATGTAAGATCTTTGTTATACTTATTTGTTTAATTGTGGTTTTTTTCAGTCTTCGGTTCTTCATTCACAACCAAAGTCCACTGTCGGAACTCCTGCATACATTGCTCCCGAGGTATTCCTAAGGCAAGAGTACGATGGCAAGGTATACTTACAAGCTAGTTCAAATCAGTTTAGAATTCACATGTAATTCCTGGTTAAGATATAAAGAGGTAGATCTTATATGGGTTGATCACCGTGTTCTAGTTTTGTGTCCGAGTGAAATAAAATCAAATATGTGGTTTTAACCCCTCATTTGATTTAAAACTTTGGTTTACTATTCATTTCCCGTAGGATGACAGTTGTGGCAGTTTTTTTTAATAGTTGCAGCAGTCCTTTAACTAGGAGGCACGGTACAATAGATCATTGCTCTACTTATGTGTAATGTGAAGTTTTGTTAGATGGATCTGGTTCTTATGGCCCATATTGGTTAAGTGTTGGTGGTTAGAT